TTTAATGACTTCTCAAATTAAAAATTCATATTAAATCTAAATGACATCCAAATTACTTGAAACTTTACAATAATGTTTAGATTCAGATTCTAAGCAAACCTTAAAAATCTTAAATTAGTTTGAGTTCAAACAGATTTATTATGAATTAAGTGATTTATCTCATTATTTAATTATTTAAAATTTATTTTTAATCAAAATTATCCAATTTTTTGTTCTTCATGTTCTTTCTGTTAAAATACTCATTTATTGAAAATTTGGTTAAATTGATTTTCAAATGAGTGAGTTATACCAATTTGAAGTAAAAGGGATTTATATATAATTTGAAAATTACATATATATCCAATTTACTAATTTTTTATCCTATGAGTTCATTATCTCTTTTTTTCTTTTTTGAAAAAAAACCAATTTGAAGTAAAAGGGATTTATATTTAATTTGAAAATTACATATAAATCCAATTTACTAATTTTTTATCCTATGAGTTCATTATCTCTTTTTTTCTTTTTTGAAAAAAAACTAATTTCAATAACCCATTGATGAAAATTTTTACGCATTTTAGAGTTTGAATTCTAATTTCCATGATTTGAAGTGAGAGATTTATTTAAATATGAATTTATATAAATACTCTTATTTCTTTAAAGTTGTTATTATGCATTTTAACTTTTAGTAATTTCGTTTCACTGATTGAAAAAGGTTTTTTATATCTGTTTTAACATTTCATTTTACTGATATTTGATTTTAATTAATTTTTCATTTTTAATTTAATTATATTATTATTTATTGGAATTTCCCTTGATATTTTCATTTCCATAGATTTTATACGTTTTCATCTTTAGGAAAATTACAAGAAACCAAGCATATCAATTAGATCATTCTTTGAAATTTTAAAATTATTTCAAACTTTATTTCATGTTTTTGTAAATTAATTGGTTTCTAAGCTATTTATTTAACTAAAAGAAAAATTGTTATTAATTTCTTTCAATTTTTATTCCACATGATTCTTTTTTTCATTCGGAGTGTAGGGTATTTTTCTCTTTATTTTGAAGGATTTTATTTGATTTTAATGCATTTTATAAGTTCTTTTATGAATTTTGAATTTATTAAGGGATATGCCATCTCAGCCTTCATTTCCACGCTGTGCGCTTTGGTTCGTCCACTTAAACACCTGGCAAATTTTGATTCGTCATGTAATGATTATGAATCATTGGTTCTAGTGTTTAATTCTTGGTGGGTCGAACCATTCGATTGAATGATCGAATCCAAGCTGTGCACCCAAACAATGGAGGAATGAAGGGCATCAGTTCATTATCCCGGATGAGATGGTGAGCCAAAGCCATCCAATTCCAAACCCTAATTCGAGGAAATCAAAAGCTCGAAACACAAATCCAATGTAGCCAAAAGCATCACACATGCAACACTCACCTATTTAACAGTCAAAATCTTCTTATCTTACGATTCTCTTCACAACGGTCAATGATCGAAAGCCTTAGATCTAAGATCAAAAAATGTCAAGGCGATCCAACGTTTTAGTTGGTCAGGATTGGTCGCCTGGTCCTATTGAGCAGTCCTATGAGTCCAATTCTGAGTTCCAATGACTTATTCCTTGAACCGAGCTTGCACCACACTCCCTTTGATCGATTAATCGGTTTCAGTAGGGGAATTTCACTGATTTTGACAAGATAATGAGTTTTGGATCTAGGATAAGCTTTATGAATGGTTAGGTTGAAGAATTGGATTATGGTGGTGTGTCTTGATTTTTGGGTGATTGGGGATGGTAGTCTCATGGGGTGAATGCTCTGTAGAGTAGTGAGAAACAAAGCTTAGGAATGTAGGAAGGAATTGGCGGAGTCTATTGATATGGGGAGCTCTGTGGAAGGAATTTCAGCAACCCACAGCAAGCTTGCTTGGGGTGGGGGGTATTTATAGCAAACCAAGGTCGGTGGAGGGCTCACTCGAAAAAGTACTTTGGCTCCAAGAATTGGGTTGACTGAGGTGTCAGCAGTCGGCAGTCAAAGCAAAAGGCCAATAGGGATTTGACAGATCTTTGGTCAAAATTGGTGTGCCATGGTGGTGAAGGCTGATTTTGGGTTCATAGTTGCTGGGAGCTTGACCATTGACAGCTGGCAAAGGAGGTAGTGGAGGCTGGCTTAGGAAACAAACAAGCAGTCAGAGAAGAACCAATAGGATTAAGCCACATGGAGTTCAGTTGGGTATTGAGAGACTTGAGTTGATTTTGAAGTGTTATGACTTTCTTGGGATAAACTGCTCTGGATAGGCTTTAGTTGAGCTGTTGGAGTGCTGACCTTGCCGTTGGATTTAACTTGGAATTGGTTTGACATTTGAGTTGAATTTTGACTGAATTCTTGTGATTAGAAGACAGCAAGAAGGATGACAACAAAAGGGTTGGTTCATGCGAAATCAACATGCATTGATTGTGAATTTAAATTGAGTTTAGGATTGGGCATGGTCGTTTGGTATTTTGGAGTTTGATTTGCTGAAAGTCAATTAGATAATTGATTTGTTGGATTTGGTAATGGATTGAATGAAGGCTTTAAACTTGCTCTTTGGAATTTGAACTGGGTAAAAGTTGTTTTCATTGTGTGAGTCCAAGGATTGGATTGTATTCATCTATTTAATGGGTTAGATTGGTTTTTGAATTCTGAAATGGGTTTTGGAATTTTGAGTTTGAGCATGGAAATAATTTGGTGGATTGATTAGGGTTTGATTTTCAGTAGAATTGGAATTTGATTTTGGGTATAGTTCAAGGTTTTGAAAATTCTTGGACATCAAGGTAAAGGAGATTGAATTTAGATTTTGACTAGGTTCAAATTCTTATAGAATTAGCTCAATCATGGTTCAAAGTGAACATCGAACCAATTGTGCTATCTTTAAACCAAAGGAAAGGGCTAAGGAATGGTCCAAGAGTGATTTAGTGGGTGTCATAGGATGAACCAAGGTTCCAAATGTGCCTAAGTAATGAAGTCAAGTCTCTAGGCTCAATAAGTCACGTAAAGGCACATTCAAAGCTTTATGGGGAACTTAAATTTAGCTTTATTAAATCAATTTAAGTAGACTCAATATCAAAATGTTAAGGATGAAAGTCAAGTAGATTTCAAACTAAACGAGTGAAGATTTGGTTTATGTCCTAATTTGAGTCTCAACCATCTACTAGTCATTAAGGATAGCCTCTAAAGATATTAAGATTATATTCTATGTTCTAAAGGAATAGGTAGAGAGAGATGAGAACACCTCACTAAATGTGAGCTCAACATGGGGTTGGATCAAACTCATACGAATCATTAAGATGCCAAGACAGAGACTTGAGAATTTAAGGTGTATGCAGCTTCCTTGCCTTGGTACTTGAATTTATCCCTAGGATGAGATATTTGTTGTTGTAACTAGGGGTGTAAGTGAGCAGAGCTGGCTTGAGCTTGATTTGTTAATGAGCTTTAAGTTGAGCTTATCAAGTCACGAGCTTGAGCTCGAGCTCAAACTCAAGCTCAAGTTCAAGTTTGTCTAGGCTCAGCTCGTCGGTTTGCGAGCTAGCTCTACTAGCTGATCAAAGATCATGTCGATGCCTTCATCGGTGAGTTGTCGTGGCAATCCTACTCCAACCATTGATGCCTTCTCCGGTGAGCTATCATTATAATTTGAATTTTAGCATGAGCTCGCCATTCGAGCTTGGATCGACACATTTACCCCTTTAGTTGCAACCATTCATTTAGTACTTTAACACTATAGCCTACACTTTCTCATGAACTTTAAGAGTATAGAGGGCTTCTACTTTCTTTTTTAGATGTAAGGCTATTCCAACTTGATAAGGAAGAATTATGCTTGCTTGTTTATGAGTGGGGACCACAGGATGAGATTCACCAAAATGGTGCTTACATTGAAAATAATTCCCAACTTAACTTGAATCATAGATAAGTAAATGCATGTGTTAGAACCTAAGCATAGAATATATATTTATAAATTTTGGATGTAAGTTGAAATTTTTTATTTTATTTAAATTAATGTATGAAAAGAGTGAAATAATGCTATAATGGTACTTGAACATGATGCTTAATGTATGGATTAGTGGTAGATTTTTTTTTTATTTTATAGTTTTTACGGGATTAAGCTAGATCATTTATACTTTATTAAAGTTTTATGGATTTTAATTTTTATACTGATGCAACCATGCTACTTAATAAATGATTTAATATGGACAATTTAGTAGCTTAGTCATGCTTATGCAAAAAAAAAGGGGTTAGATGTCATAATCATATATTTAAGTCCAAAGAGTCATATGGTGTCAACACCTCAGCCTTAAGCTCTCTTGTTGTTTTGAATTTTTTGAGTGATTTTTTGTGTGAAACTTACTCTTATTTTAGCTTACTAGCATGCATATAAATAGATTGGCATGAATAACTAGAACAGTGCTTGGTACGTAAATTTGATTAAATATTTAATTGATTGGATGGACCTTGACAATCTTTATGACTTTAATTTATGGGGAAGTTACATGCATACCATTCAATTCCATTGCATTTTCATATCCAACACTAAAACTTTGATATTTATTTATATGACATTTTAGTGTCTTAATTATATAAAATATGCATGTTGTCTATTTCACTTAAAAAAAAGTTGATATTAGTGTTCTTTTTGATGTGATATAAAGATTTAGCTGTTCTATATATAAATATCAAAGTTTAAGTGTTAGATATATAAATACATAAGAATTGTATGGTATTTTTATAAATCCTCTATAAATTTTAAAGAAATGTTGTTTTGCTCTATTAAAAGAACGAAGTGTTGAAAGTTTAGGGTGAACTCCATTTGAAATGGAGTTTCTTTTTTCTTTAGAATTAACAGAATTTTTTTTCTTATTGTAATTTTATAATAAGTCTATAAATGATGTTATCATCAGTGTACGCAAGCTGTTTTATCTCTCTGCAGAATTAATCCAAGTTGTGTAGATTTATTCAAATTGTTTAACTTTGGTTGTTGGCTTCGTCAGAATTTCCTTTTTACTTCCAAGGTAGAAAGTTCACAGTTGAAGGCTATAGATTTTGGTCTCTCAGACTTTGTGAAGCCAGGTTTGTTTCTACTCGTCACCCACATTCCTACAAATTATTCTCATTAACATGGCCGCTGAATTATATTAAATTTAAAACTCATTAGGGCTAATTTTTTGAAATGGCCTTTTACTTGCTCAAGTGGTTTGCAGATGAGAGGCTTAATGATATTGTTGGAAGTGCATATTACGTTGCTCCTGAGGTTTTGCATCGATCGTATGGTACAGAAGCTGACGTGTGGAGCATTGGTGTGATTGCCTACATACTGCTGTGCGGTAGTCGCCCATTTTGGGCTAGAACTGAGTCTGGTATTTTTAGAGCAGTTCTGAAAGCTGATCCAAGTTTCAACGAACCACCTTGGCCTTCGTTGTCTCTTGAAGCAAAAGATTTTGTTAAACGCTTGTTAAGTAAAGATCCTCGGAAACGAATGACGGCTGCACAAGGCTTGAGTAAGCAATCTTCAATTTTTTTTTAAACTTTTATACTTCATTGTGTCGGATAATTGTTCTTAACTTCATAAATTGGTTATGCTGGCAATTCTTAATGGATCTTTCGGTTAAATGTGGATATAGTTCTAAACTATTGGGTTGCTTTGCTGCTATTCTTTATGAATCATTTTCCACTTCTTTGTATCCTTCTTAATTCTTTTTCTTTTGTTTATTCTTAATTCTTTTGCTCTAGTTTATTTTAAAGACCTTGAGATAAACTAGAAATTGTAATATAGAAGAAGAAAAAAGGGGTATAGATTCAGAAACTATGTCAATATGAGGAGATGATCTCATTTGTATTCATGTCTCATACGTGATCAATAATCAAAATTTTAGGATAAATGAAGGCTTCACATCCATAATAAGAATTTTGTTCGTGCCATTAATTTCATTTAGCATTAGTTAGAGTTTTCATATTTATAGATAAAAGAAATAAACTAGAATTGATCAACTAATAAATTTCTTATAAGGTGTCAAATTACTGACAAAATGTGATGCGGGTGTGATATCGTTCTAGGGCTTCTAGAATGTATAGAAAAATATAAAAATGTGGAATAACAAATGAATGAATATATGTGAGGTTTATGATGTCTAGAAGGGTATAGGCATCGATCGGCCAGTGTCCTGATTTGAAATAGCAAAGAGGGCTCCGAGAAGACGAGGTAGGAGGGTTGAGGGGGATTCATCACTTGGAAAAGGAAATGAGACAACACTCTAAAGAACACTATGAGGAAATGATGCAACACTCTGACAACTGCTAGTACTCTCTTTGGTGTCCATAACTCTTTTTTGTTTCTACTTTCTCATTGTCTATTTCTTCAACTGTTCTCTGCTCAGTGAAATATATCATCCCCTAGTTGTGCAATCTGCTTCAATATGCCCAAATCCGTGGCACTTTACACTTTCTGTTTTATCAATGTAGAAAAGCATTTATTTTTGCCTGACAATGGCAATATTTTATGCTTGGGTTTTAGTTAAGTTCATGCAAGTGTAAAAATTTCATTAAGGCTAATCAGATCTTAGTAATCTCATATGGTTGACATAATCATTTTCCTTGTAAAGTTCTTTTATTTCAGTGGAAATAAAGTTAAGTAAAAGGATACAATGCTAATTAAATTATTTCAGTTGGAGGCTCCTAAATCTTGAACTTATGCATGATACAAGTTTTACCAGTAGACGGAAAATTTAGAAACCCATTTTTTTTTTAAGGTCTTACGCTTGAATCATAGAACACAATTGAAGTTTGGCATTGTTGATTTCTTATTTTAATTTAATTCTCTTAGGCAGAAGATGGATCCCTCGAAGAATATGCATTGCTATTTGTGAGAGGAGGATAACGCTGACTAGGCTAGGATTATCAATAGATTAAAAACAGGATTATGATAGATTAAAATTTTTAAGGTTTGATACTAGTTTGGAAGTAAAAGTGCTCTAGGAGTTAAACGAATGTTTATTAACAAATTGGGTTAAAATTTGAATTTTTTTTTTTTAGTTTCATTATGTGGAAAACATTTAGCTTTTGCGGGGGATTGATGAAGGTTTGATAGGGCTTTGAATTTGAATTTGAGTTTGATTAAGATTAATCATGTGGTGATACGTAGCTTTTGTGGATGTTTGTTGGAATTGATTGAAGAGGATGGCAAGGAAAAATAAGCGCTCATGATTGATCCAACTGTCTCGTGAGTGGGAACTTTGCTTTAGCATAAGCATTACTTTACGAACAATACTTTTATTGTTAGGTGCAAAATGTGGAAGGAAAGGATTGTTGGGAAAGGGGTGGGGGTACTTACAGTTTTGAAGCCATAGAAAAAGGCTATGGGTTTTTATTTCAAAGTTTTTTTTTCCTTAGATTGATCAAAATTGCTGTTCAGATGGTAATTAATGCTTGCAAACCTTGAAATAAATTAGAAAATTATATGAAGAAGATGGAAAGATAGAAGTCTATGAGAAGTAACAAGTAAGCTTGGTCATGTATGAGGAGAGAGATGGCCTCTCTTCAAAATTTTCATTTCTTACACTTGATCAATGACCGAGATCATAGAATGGATGAAGAGGAGTTTCTACATCCACTACAAGAATTTTATTTCTCCTATAAACTATCTTGCATGACTTGGAATTTCTTTATTTATAGAGAGAATAAATAAATAAATGCGAAAGAAATAAATTTAGTACATTGAATGGAAGAATTAGAATAAAATAATGGAATCTAAATTACATAAAGTATCTCCAATTTCCATGAAAAAAATGAAAATTCAGAATTTACTGCCAAATCATAATTGCTGCTACTTTTTTTTCAGATTCATGTGTAAATTCTTGAATCAGTTCTATCTCGTCTAGGTAAACTCAATACCCTCTTAAAAGTTCCTTGTATACTCGTCTCTCTATTGCAATTCTTTTAACATTTTTCCTTTAGCGTATCAATTCCTGTAACATTTAGTTTTCTCGTTTTTAATTTTTTGTCTTCTTGAAGCAAACCAATATTGCATAACTTAGTTTATTAATGTTTGATCTACTTTAATTTCCAGTATCTCTCTTATTACAAGCAATGCTTCAGGACATCCTAATGTTTCAGAATTACTTATTTTTGGTCTTGGAGATATTTTTTTGTCTTCATGTCTTTCCTGATGCTTGTTTGTTTGTTCAGGCCACCCTTGGATTAGAAGTTTCAATAATGTTAGAGTACCACTTGATATTCACATTTTCCGGCTTATGAAAGTCTACATGCGGTCATCTTCCCTGCGCAAGACTGCTTTGAGGGTGGGTACATACCCTTTTGTAAAGTTTGTGGTGTGGCTTATCCATTTTTTTTTTATGAATTCTATGCAAATATTAGCACTTTTTGATAAGTGTACGTTCTTTTTCTTTGATTTATTTAAAATGACTATGGTGACTTCATTTGAATTTGTTTAATGGCTTCCATTTATCTTAGAGCTTTGAGTACTAAGATATCGAAATAAAACTATCGATACCCAACTCATACAAAATCTACTCACCACCTTTTTACGTAACTCCTACAAATTAGTATATATTATCTTCTGCTTAACATCAACGTTATGATATCTACCCGCATTTACCAAATAAATTCAAATTTACTTCTTTCGACCTCCAATCAGTTTATATAACAGATGGCTCCATGTACTTGTGCATCGCATAACTAAAAAAAAAAATGAAGAAGGGGGAGAGAGTGAAGAAGGGGATTCATTTTTCAACCATATTAAGGAGAAATTTTGCATTAGAAAAAATAAGAAAGAAACTTGTAATAGATAAGGGAATATGATATTAGCAGCAATAACATCTCCTTATCCACATTTAGGCCTCACATTCCTTGACATTCTTTGAAATTGAGAAAGTGGTTATCTCTATACTTCTGATGTTGGAAAAGAATTCTTTGATGTGATACCCTTTGAAGATTGATAAAATATTTGATCTCTGAGAAACTGTAGATTTTAGGCCAATGTCATCGAAGCATATAAACTTCTGCGCAATGTGATTGTGATGTTTGGTGTGTTTATTCCTTGTGTCCATTTAGTTGTTTGACTTTCTATCACCCTTAGAACTATTGATATCATAGCTTTGTTCTAAAAGCTTTCTGCTTTGAAGATGGAGGATGGAAATGTTAAGATTGATAAATTTAATGGTACAGATCTTGACTATTGGAAGATGCAACTAGAGAGTTTTTTTTTTTTTATTATAGAAAGCTTTATAAACCATTAAAGGGATCAATACGCTTGGCTATTTATCAAGATGAGTGGCAATTGATGAACAGGCAATCATTAAAGTTATTGTCTATATTTAACCAATAATGTTGCCTTCAACATTCTCAATAAAAAGAATGAAAAATTTGTCTATATTTAACCTATATATATATATATA